AAACTCTGACCCACTATGCATCATATTTACTGGTAAAAACACTGAAAATTGATCGGGAAGTTGCATCATGAAGCCCATAATTGCGACGATAATGAAAGAAGTAAAGATAAAGAGACTCTGGTACACATCTGTGTACACAACAGTGGAATATCCAGCTGCACTCGTGTATAGCATAGCTACTGCCATCAACAAAGCTGCAGCCCAAAATTCAGATGGTAGTCCTCCGCATACTGGTAGCTTGACGGATTCCGTAAAGAATTTTCCTATAAAAATTCTACGCGCAAAGTAAGGCACTGAAAGTAGTAGCAATATACGGAAACATAGCACTTACCTCCACCAACTGCAAATTACGTTGTTGCCAAGATGCTACTGGCCAACGACAGTAGTTCGTAACAGCACAGCGTCCAAGCGAATTCCAAAGCGAAATTGGATCCTGCATCCCAAATGTCATACAATTAATCTAAAATTTACCTTCGTACTTTTTAGCTATCATACCGTTCTCCTCGTGTCTTCACTGGGCATCTACGCGATAGCTTGCCGGTGTAGGCCAGTTGAAAGGCCAAGAAGAGGCACAAACCGCCGCGTATCTCAATGTACATGCCTTTCACACCCAATGCGTAAACGAGCGCCGTATTAATCATAGTTTCCGATATATCGATGTATGAACTTACATCAGCTACTGCCAGTGCATACATACCAAGGTATGCGTCGTCCACCAAGGTAGTACTCTTCTAGATTATTGTTATTCTTGGCTGGAGTGGAGCCATTAGAATCTTTTATTCCATTGTCCATTACCGCTTTATCGTGCAGACGCGTTAGACGTGCCTTTTCGCGTGTGCGCTGCTCTCGCAGTGGTTAAGAAGGATTATACAAGCAACACGGAGGCCAAGTCACCGATACATAGCGCTAAATCGCGTGCCCAGCTTAATTAGGGATTTCATGGTTTCTTTCAAAAAGAGAATTAAAATGGTACAGTGTACCTGGTTTACGGCCGCAAAATGTTTAGTATTAGTGCGTTTGACGACAGACGATTTCTTTAAGAAACTTCAAAACTGCTGTTGGAACCTCTTGCAAATCTATTTTTTTGATTACTTACTTACTTGTCGCTTTATGGGACAGCTGAATTATTTCTTGTAGTGTTTTTCATTACAGCTGATACCGGCAAAATCGGTACTGCAAGGTGCACCTTTTCAAAAGCGGCATATCTATAAAAATGGCTACCTGACGTTCTTACTTTTATTCAATCGATTAAATTGAGCGCATGTAAGGGGAGGATAAATCATTTCGCTCTCATCAACGACAATTCTATTATATAATCATACCATGTGACATGTGCAATATAAGTGTTTGTAAGTGGACGGATGGAAAGTGAAAAAATGTCGTGTGACTTGAATGTGAGTAAATGTGTAAAAGTCGACTTTGCACAGTTCCCATGTGAATCTCTCCTATAGATGGAGAGATTAAAAACGCACAAGTATGGGAGAGAGGGTGAGAAGAAGTATACTCTAGCTTAACACATATATCGATCCAGACAAGTTGATTTGTGTAGAAGCACCACTAGAATTAAGAAGACGGACCATCACACCTTATGCAAATCGTCAGAACAATTCGCACGTCACTAAAGCGGCGGTACAAATGGGCGATAGTATCCGTTCGATTTTGATCTGCCTGTCGCGATGGACAGAACGCAGCAGGCGATGTGCAA